TTGGTGAGACAATTTCACGAATGATCTCCAACTAACTTTTCCTTCGAAATGGTAGGTCATGTCACTATATCACTAAGGAATTCTTTGACACCCAGTTTTTCTCTATGTCGTCATTTCTACAATCTGACTAAAATACTCACCGGAAGTACTTGGTTCAAAAAATGCATGCCACCACCATGGCGGCTCCGTTACTGTATGTTGCGTTGATTCACAATGGCTGGAAGTTGAGGGCATACAGGCCTCATCAGCATTTTCGATTTCATATGAAGGTGCAGTATTAATGGTCTCAGAATCAGTTCCAGAAGCAAAATTATTGAGATGACTTGAAATGGGAGAATGAATGGATGCTCCAATTAGAGTATTTGATTTGTGTACTGTTAGAGATGAAGATTGTGGTGGGCCGAGATGGCTCTCTTTAACAGCCTGCTTCCGAGGTAGACGAAAGAGATCTGAGTCAACAGTTCCATAACGTGCGTGAGCGGCGAGTGAGGCACGCAGCATGTAGCCCAGACCGGTTGCATGGCGTTCAGATAAGTCACCATTGAAAAAGTGACGGCTGGCGTCCTGCTGTCTAAGCGTCTAAATAAAAGAGATGGAATTAAATAAATTAATAGTCATTTTTATTCTAATTTGATATGGTAAATGAAGTTAAATGCAAAATAGGATACCCGAACAAATTTAATGTACCCGAACATGGCATATATTAGGGCAGTTGAGTGGGACCCCATCTTACTAAAGCCATTCGTCCCCTCTTTTCCCCATGTCCGAGCCGCAGAAGGGGCAGACACCTGCGATGCCATTTGAGACTATCAAACCATAGAGGACATAGCTGTACTCTACGTTAGTGGGACTATATAGATGGCCAGGTCGTAGGTATGCATACCATTATTTCGTAATGCTGTGAGATCATTGGCGCTAGGCTCACGAGTTGAACAGTTAAAACCAAAGACGTCAATTTTAATGCAATTTGGCTGGGATAAATAATCGTATTCATTTGTTCGCGGCTATTGAACATACGAATAATGACAAAAAGCCGCTAGAAGAAGAGTACTGCATTAACTTAGGGTGATCATAATTAAAGCGAAAATCCAATTTTGCATTGAAATATATGTAATTCACCTTAATGTAACTCAACCGCGTCATGATAGTATTGTCTAAGTGATAAACTGTAAACATTTGAACACAGACATTTACAGTTCGAATACAACCGAGATAATCGATTACAAAATGATGAGATTAAAGCAGTTATCCTCTTTGGATTGTAAAAAACCTTCTGAGAAGCCTAATGAAATGAATTTCAATGTAAGAGCAAACTTTCCGCTCGTTCCATCTAAGATGTCATTGATATAAGTCCCTATAACTAAAAACGGCAAATACATACTTATGCCGAAAGTAGATTACATCAAAAGAAATGAAAAACTACTTCGGATAAAAATTTGTATGCGTCCATACACATAGTATATAAAAAATAATAAAATAAATTGAATGTCCAGGTTTACAAACTAACTGGAAAAAAAAAATTCGCAGTAGGAAAATTCATTTTTGCTGGTTTATTTAAAGATCAAAAAATCAAGGGGGCCAGGTTAGGGAAAACATGGTTAACCCATGATGAAAGATTCACGAATTCCTAGCCTTTTAAAGATTAAGCAAAAAACAGCAAATTTACCCGCTCCCATGTAATTAAAGTATATGCCAGACAGTGACGCAATGTCCGCCATTCGCACTTAGCAGACCAGATTGCGAGAGTAGCGCGTCTCGAAACTCGATCAATGGCAGCCATAATGTATTCCTTTGCAATGCTAAGGCTCTTAGTCGCTTCCGCGTTAAGATCCTGCACGCCTTCTGTTTTCTGTGATGATCCTATAAAAGCAGTGTCATCAACCGGTTTACCAAAGACCTCTGATTCTCCAGCTACACAATTTTCACTACTATGGCCGGCAAGCAAGGTAGGTGAAAAGCTGGAAGAATGAGTCGCTGTAGGAGGAGTTACAGGATCCAAGACGACATAACTGTCCATCTGAAAATATATTGAAGGATTTTGAAATAGGAGCAAACAGAAGGATAGAAAAAATAAGTGTGGTAAAAAATAAGCACTAAAATGATGACATTTTTAGAATAAAACGGTAAATCAAGCCATAAAAAGGATAATAAAAATATTGGGAATTTATCACACAGGGTATATCGCATCATAAAAAATAAGAAAGTATAAAGGCAGCTATATAAGTCTGTGGTAATTCCTTCCCTTGTTCATCTAACTACTATCGTGTTTGTGCCTTTGCGTCTGCATGGTGCCCTATCCTCACGTACAAGTTAGAGTATGAAACAATCATTAATAAAACCAATAAAGATATCAGCGTAACTTCACTTCAGACCAGTGTTCAAAATTAAGGAAAACAATGCTGAATGCATGTCTA